CTAAGATTTGCGAGTAGAGATGGGAATCTTGGAGAATTGGTCGGGCGCGATCGGAGATTAGAATATCTGTCGATCCGGTATATCCTTGCCAGTACAATCGGTGATTATACCGATTAAAATGAAGTCCTGTGTATTTGGGTATTCAGAAGATACATGCATCAGTGGATTACATATTTATAAAAAATACCATATGCCATGAAGACTTAGAATTGATTTGTATTGTTAAGAACAGAGATATCGAGCCATGTTTTTCACCATGATTTGAGTCCTCTTACCTAAAATCTTCAGGTCGTAAATGCGAAGTCGCTGCTCAAAGAAAGCAGTTCTGTTGTCCAGATTTTGTTTCAGGGCCTCCACAGTAATGTTCATCAGCTAAACAGACGAACAAAATCTCAATGAAACAATGAGAAGCCTTGTATTGTTACTCTGTGAAGGATTGTCAGTGACTTCCGACGAAATATTAAAATCAACTTAACTGTATTGGTATGTACCCCCAGTGGGCTACCCCGAGTGAGTGGGCCATTAACAAAGCGACTTGTCCCAGATCACCCAACTCCAAGCCTTCAACAGGAACAAAGTCCAAGGGTTTGGTCGTCCTTCCATACACCAAGGACCTGTCGGAAGCGCTCAGAAGGATTTTCAACTCCCACGGGATTTCAACCTGCTTCAAACCGACCAGGACCTGATAAGACACATCCTTGTGTGGTGTCATTTACCACATCCCCTGCCAGGGCAAATACAACAAAGGGCCCTGCCAAGAAATGTACATCGGCGAAACAGACAAGGCCCGGTTCCAAGGACATACACGGCCCAGCTAAGCCGGTTCAGAACTGTCACAAGCATCCACTTAGAGTCACCCGGACACTTTGTTTCACTTGACACTGTAAGGATTTGGGACACTGAACAAGACTATTTCCTGAGAGGGGTGAAAGAGGCTATTTACATCAGGGCCTACCACCCTTTACTTAACCGCGACGGGGCCGTCATCGTCTACCAGATACCTTTGACCCAGTGTTGACGTCACACTTCAAAGAAGCCACGTGGCAAGTCTCACTGGGTCAGTCTACAGAAGAAGACCAGGGTGACTGGTCGAAAGCTCTAGGTGAGAGAACTTTTTTGTGTTGGACTTTAAACAATTATAGTTGGTATTTAGTTTGTCTGCTAGTATGTGCTAATCTCCAAGCAGATTCGGTGGGGCAAGGGGACTTTATACTGGCCTCCTGTATCCATTGGCCGCCTGTATCCAACGTTCGCCCCACATTGGATACAGGCGGCCAATGGATACAGGAGGCTAATATAAAGTCCCCTTGCCCCACCGAATCTGCTTAGAGATTAAGTATGTGCGAGAAGATGCACGTTGTTTTCGTACACAGTGTCACTTGTTATAAGTTATTTCAGAAAACACCCCTATCTTGGTGGACTTGTGGAACAGGTCATTAATCCCGTAAGCCTGTGTGGGTGTGCGTTTATAGGGTTTTCTGCAAGCAGATGTTGAGTTATATGTTCTTTTAGCTTCCTTTGTCTAGAGCCATTTGCAATTGTTGCCTCTGATTTGGCTCTTGGGTCCAAATGGGGACTCTAAGCAGATGTACTTTAAGCTCAGGTTTTCTGAGCAGATCCAAGCAGATCCTGTCGTAGTAAGGTCGTATCCAATGATATTGGGTGATGGACTCTGCTTGGCCAAATGGATACCGATTTGCCATCTCACGATCTGCCTGTAGATTGTTTCTTCTTAGTAGATTTTCCTGATATTAGATTAAAAGAATTTCATTATACCAAAGACTTCCAAAGCATCAAGATATTTGTTTTATCCCCCGTTGGATTTTTTTCTTTTTAAACTGAGTTAATCATAATGTGTCTGCATCATCATCATTTGAGGCTCTGGTAGCAAATTTGCCACATTGCCTTTTATCGGTACAGACCTAGCTAATTACATTCATGAAATGTATTTAATAACACAAGTAGGGAGTAACATGCTAAAAGTACTAAGTAACCTGCAATGTATAGATCATTCCAACATTGTATAGGCAGCAGCAACAACTTTAAGAAATAGCATACATATAGTATTACATATTCTTTGGGCATTAACCCTACCTAGACCGGGCTTTTTTTGACATGGGGGGACCGGGGGGGGGGCTCTTTTGACCCCCCCCCCCTAAGAACTCGCGAACGGTATGTCGTATGGCCACCAAATATTCAGAGAATGGTGTACTAGTGAAAATTTATCATATCTACAATTTTTATGTCGTTATGACATAATATGACGTCATTATGACGTCATTAATATGATTTTATTGGCCAAAACCGTCTAAATAGGTTTTTCCCTGAAAACTAAATGGTATTCAACATAACTGTACCAAAAGTGTTTGTGACAGAATATTATGGTGTACTAAGTCTTATGTTGCCCATAGCAACACCGGTGACGTCATAAAATGACGTCATGCATATTTTAGATAGCCGCCATCTTGGATCATCAATCTTGAATTTTCAAAAATAGTTTTTTTTCATGATAAAGCCTAAAGTACATTGTTAACAGACCAAAGACGTTCATATGAACCTTTTTTGTAAAAAGAAATGTGAGTATTGATGAAATTTTAATGAAAATAACCTATATATACCTGTTCTAATGATATGGTCCGCCATCTTGGATTTTGGCCAATGACGTCATCAAATTAGCATGAATTATGCATATTTAATGATAAAATTTACATAAAATTATATGGGATGTTATTAATATTAGAAACCGTGAGTAACTTGACATAAAACTCATAAAATTCTATTGTTGAAACAAAAAGTACTAAATTTAGCAAAAAATGCCTGTCAGAAACCCGTTGCCATGGCAACACAAAAAATTATAATCTTATTCCAATGATAGAGAATTGTTGCCAACAATATTTTAGGAAAAGTCACCAAGTTTGGCCGTTCTACGGCTAGCCGTTCAGACGCCTGGTGACATCAAAGTTGCCGCGGGCACTTTTAGCCCCCCCCCCCGGTCTAGGTAGGGTTAAATGAAGACAATAGTATTCTGGTCATATGGAAACAATGTAATGAAAAAGTACTTGCTTCTTTATGGGTCTGTAGCTCCGCAATGATGAACATCATGAGGACGACTTGCACAGTTACCATGGTTACCACTGTCAGGGCGGCAATGATGTAATGGCGGTGGGCACGGATGACGTCACAGACAACATGGCGGCCGCTTGATCCGCCTGAGTCTGCCGTGTCAGCTGTTGGGGAATTGTTGATGAAATTATCGTAAATTCCCCTTGATTCACACAATGTTCATCACTAACTCTGAATAGAGGCTTTACTGGCCACCATGGAGTAGACAGTAGTGGTGGAAGGGAAGGCACGCAATTCAGCCCATGGCTGCTATGTGTTTGATGTATAAACCTTTCCTTCATTCAATGGTTCCACAAGGAATCGTTCTGGAACCATCACTCTTCCTTTTGTATATAAAACGACCTACCAAATAAGCTTGATTTTAAATGTGAGGTTATTTGTGGATGTCTTCCTGCTATATGCCACTGGAATATACGTGAAAACATTCAGAATACGCATGATGTACAAAATGACTAATGAACTGGTGGATGTCCCAACTACTAAGTAACTTATACCGGCACAGAAAAGGAGAAGAAATAGCCAGGCCTTCAAGTACCAGAGTTATGAACCAAGGATTGAGGTGTTTAAAAACTCATTTTCCCCATAACTATTGTAGAGTGGAACTCACTGCCACCAAGTACAGTAGGGACAGCATCACTAGATATAACTTTAAACATTTTTGATATTTTATTACGAATGCAGGAGCTGCTATGAGAGCTATTAAAGAAACAAGAATTATTTTCAACAAATACAGTGCAAATCTCGACAGTGGTGATTTGTTGTTTTTTTTCCACGTATTTCAGAATTTTTTGTATTACACGGCTAGAAATACTATTTCGCAGCAATTACAATATTGTCATTGTCAATATTCTGTTCATGAAAGAACTGCTAATTTTGCATATAAGCTTGCATTTGAAGAGAAAATCAATTATTTACCTGTTGATCCTGGGTCACGTAAGTTGACAAACACTTTGTTGCGTCTGGCATCAGTCCCCTCTTTAGCCCTGGGATTTGGATTCGGCAGTTTCACCTCTTCGGCTACTTTGTACGGATCCGAAGACGCTTCAAACTCTTGCCAATTTTCATAGCCACTTGGATGCGCAGTAGGGGGTCGGGACGGCGGCTCGCCGGTTCGCCCGTCCCCGGTCCCCGCCTGTGAGGTACCGGTACGGACAGCCTGTTCCTGCCGAGACATTTTATCGTACTGGCAGGCAAGAGTTACTCAGTCGGTAGTAGTCACAAACAAAAGCATGATTACTTTGAATACATATATATGTAATATAACTTTTGATATTATATAAAAGAACAAGTGCGCTATGATATAGGAGGGCTGGTATTTTGTTTTCGTCAAATTGTAGACTAATTTTTTGGAGGAGGAGTAAATTTGCATAGATGTTTTGAAACGTACACGTCAACAAAACTATTTCAAAGGGCACTGGACTTATTTGTAAGATTGATTGTATTATAATTTGCACGCACACATGTAAACATTTACACATCTGGAGTATTCTTGGCACCTTAGCTTGTAGTTGCAGAAACCCCTTCTTGCTGACGGGGGCCATTGTAACTGGTCTATCTATCTATTCATGTATCTATTTCTCTCTCCCACAACGAGTGAAAAACAGGGAACTTAGTTTGTCTGTGTGTGTGATGTTTTGTGTGTGGCATTTTTCCAACAGAAAGAAACACAGAACACTCAGTGATGGTATTACCGCACTACAGACCACTTAAAAGGTCAGACACAGGTAACATGGTCCCAGAGGGTTACGGAGAGCCATCAGGAAGTTAGTAGATTGCTGGTAGCAGGGTGCTAGTGGGAAATTCTATATAGACGAAACAGAGGAATACACAATCAATAGAACAAGAAATTCACAAATCAAAACTCTAAATATCTCCAGGACGATTAGAATAATTTTTTCTTCTTGTTTTACTTCTATAGTCACACCCTTAAAATGCACCATGTTACTGATTAAAACATGCATTTTATATTCTCTATTGACAGCTTTGTTTAAAGCATCGCCACTTTAACAAAAAAACACATCCCAAGCACATTATAAAGAAACCATGTGACAAATTTTAAGAAAGTTAAAGGCAAGAATATTCAACAAAAGCCTTGTTTATACATATGGCGACGATCCTTCGGCTTCGCTATTTGTTTTCCAATTATTCATCTAACAACAGTAATTAGATACTTTGAAGCTAGGCGAGAGATTGATCTAATATTTTAATATATCAACAAAATTTTGTCATCATTTTCTCTACTCAGTTTCCGCACACAATTCTATAGATGTAAGGAATACTGCCATTTTGCACTGCTTGGACATTGCCTTTTTTGCGAATAAGCTTAATTTAAAGCTTAACAGCATTATAAGTTGTAATTCTAATGGAAACGATCATAATACGAAACGCTGAATTAGGTACAGATTTTATTTTAGTGGATATTATATCTGATACAGATGTTCGGCCCTAAGTTGTAATATAATACTACTGCCAGTGGTTACGACCACCAAAGTTGATTAACTAAACCAAAACCGAACTACAATTCTCGCAGATATGTATATGCAGTGGTAGAGTACACCGAGATACTGGTAGTTGTAGACCAATTCTGCCTAATGCCATGGCGGTTAGTTGATGGCAAACGGATGTTGTATGGGCTCCAGGTACTTTGGAGGACGGATAATCCTCGTCGCGGGTGCGTCATTCGGATAAGTGAGATCAGTCAGCTGAGTGCCGTCCATATTGGGCGGTGGTCTCGGTCCCCGAAGTGGATTCAGCTCCTTGGGTGCCCTCAACTTCTTCCTCCTCTTCTTCTTCCCTTTCTTCTTCTGTTTCCCCTCGTTTCCCGGCCCCTTAGCTTCGTCCAAGCCTTTCTCAAGTTCTGGCAGCCGGTCGACCCTCTTGAATCCTTGGCCCGGTTTTTCTTTCATGTCCATGACTTGAACGGGCGTTACTTTCTTCAGCTGAGCGTATTGGACGTACTTGTACACGGCGGCGAACAGGACCGACATGGCGGCAAAACCTCCCACCGCTGCACCGGCTAGGTAGATAGCGGAGGACGTACCAGGACTCTCCTTATTGCCGGCTCCTCCATTGATGATAGTTTCTGTAAGGAAAAGACAACGTCATCGACAAGACACTGAATGGAGACGGGGGGCGACACAGGTTATCTAACACGTATGACCTTCTGCTGCAATCGCGTTTCCTAAGTCACGTCTCGGAAGCTGCAGTAGACGGGTCCGTGAACAAGGCTGACGGGGTTAGCTGAAAATTTGCCAATTTACCTAGTGTTGGCACAGAACGTTTAGCCTTTTTGTCATAATGAAAAACGTATACCAACACAGATGAACTTTCATGCTAATCATACGAAAAGAACGGTTTCTTTTCGATGATTAGCATGAAAGTTCATCTGTGTTGGTTTAACCTATCCATTGGGGTCGTGTGGCGTAACGGTAGAGTGTTCGTCTCGGAACCAAGAGGTCCCGGATTCGAACCCTACATGTACCATGCCGCCGATATTGTGCCCTTGGGAAAGGCACATAACACGACTTTCCCCACTTCACTCAAGTGAAAATGAGTATTGTATTGTCCCCTGTGTTGGTGATGGCATTAAAATAAGTTGAAAAAACTTGAGTGTTCCGTCACCACGTCTTGTGATTACATATTTGAATTAAAGAAAAAAACGATTCATTGATATATCATGCTTGTAAGACTGCCCCTTGCGGTTACTTCCGATCGAGCAGCATATTTCAGCTGACCGATACAAAGTTGCAATTCAATCGATGTCCACAGGAATCTTATGTGTCAGAAATGATTAAAGAAGATTGATAAAACACGAAAAACATTAATATCTTAATATTTCTGTCCAAAAACGAATTGACATGTTATTGAAAAATTCTTGACTGAATTTTTAATCGGGTTGGACCCTAATCTCAGTACTATTGATTGTTTATTGTGTCAAATCGAATTCTTACCGCCAACTGTACATATCCTTAGCGCTCGTACCAGACTAACTTTTAAAACTTCAAGGACTTTCAGTCATTTTAATGTAGAAAGACAGTAGTGATCTTACTCGTGAGAAATTATATTGTTTTAATTATATTGCTATAATAATATGACGACGACGATGGTTTTTATAAATTTAGTATATTACAAGTGTAAGTTACCCTTTTATATCTACTAGTATTGTATAATCCTATAAGTTGTAAATATCAGCAAAATTCAGTTTTTACTGCAAGTCTATGATCTGATATGTTCTTTGTTCTTTTCAATAAACCAATCACTACCACATTGATTGTTTATACAGTTACTGTTCATATGTACGTACTTTCGCAATGTCTGCCGTAGTGGTTGTCGGGACAGAAGCAGACATAGGTCTCCGTGTTACTCACACAAGTCCCGCCGTTCTCACAAGGGTTGATGGAACAAAACTCTCTCATGGTTTCTTCCGTGTTGGACGCATCTGTAGGGAGTACATGGCTTTATTTATTTATTTTACTTTCCAATGCAACATCAAGTAGCATGGAGGAGAGACAAAACAGGTGCATATTTGCACCTCTGCCAGTTGTCTCTCCACATACAAAATACATTATAAAACAGTGATAATACAAAAATAGGCTTAAGTATCATTGGGAAGCCATGCTAATGTCAGTCAAAATCCCAATAGATATATACGCAATATATACTTATTAGGGTTCAACATATGTCCTGTTCCAGGAGTCATTACTAGATTTCAAGCACACACAATGCCATTGTTTTATTATAGATGAATGAAATTGACATTTAGATAGAAAAAAAACAAGACTATTTGATGTCTACTTGCTACTCTAGTGATCATAAATGAGCAAACAGTTAACTCTTCCCGCACATCCTAAACTTCAGCACAAAGGACAGTAACTGTCTCGTCAATGTCTTATTTTTCGGGTTCATTTAGGTCCCAGAGAGGGTCCATACGCCACTCTGGCCAATAGATACTGCCTGGCCAATTCCATACTGTCTTTTGCCACCCTATGATGTGCTTGGAGATAACAATTCTACGTACATGAAGGGAAGGTTGGAATCTGTAGTTCACAGTTGTCTCCGACAAACCCACTGGTGCACCGGCAGGTGTAGGACACCAGACCGAGCTCACAGGTTCCCCCGTTCTGACATGGCTGGAGCGCACAGGGGTCGGTCCTGTTCACCGGTGGCGCAGTAGTAGGGTCAGCATCATCTGTGGGACGAGGTAAAACAATATATTTCATCCATACCATGATCTGGAGTGAAATGTAACAAGTGGGGTCGTGTGGCGTTGAGTGTGTCGTCACCACGTCTGGGGTCGTGTGGCGTAGCGGCAGAGTGCGCGACTCGGAACTAAGAGTCCCGAGTTCGAATCCTGACATGCCACCGATCTTGTGCCCTTGGGAAAGGCACTTTACACGACTTTCCTCACTTAGCTCAGGTGTAAATGAGTATTGTCCTGTCATGTATTTGGCGGCATTAATATAAGTTGATAAAACTTGAGTGTGTCGTCACCACGTCTGGTGATTACATGTTGGAATAAAAAAATAAAAATATAACAAGAAAGGGAACATTTGCAAAGCAAATGCATTATGTTTACCTTCACATGTGCTCTAGTCCTATACTACTGCGCTGTTTATTCTGACTAAAACACATTCATAGATATGGTGACCAGCCCCCTCAACTTGCTACATAATGTACCCAACACCATAGGGTGTTTGCTACAGCACGGGTTACCGTGGTGACAGACGTCTGGTCTAGGTCATTGACCTTGCTTGATTTTGAGAAGAAAAAGAAACTGAGCAATTGAACAAAAACAATATGTTTCCCTTCTACATTTGGTAAGGAATGATAAATAAATCATTAACTGAATGCTTACCAATTTCACAATGCACGCCGCTGAAATTTTCTGGACATGCGCAGATGTACGTGTCGTTTAGCTCTGAACAGTTTCCGCCGTTCAAACAAGGATTAGGTGAACACTGGTCAGTCTCTGTAAACAGAAAACAAATATTGACTTTTATAAAGGACATCATTAAAAATCAACTAACACTGTTGGTTAGCAATAACTGTTTGTAAGGCGACACCAATTCAACTTGTTGTTTCACGGATTCGCCCTGTCCATTTTTTTCTGATTTGAAAAAAAAATTTCTTCGTTATAAATCAACTACAAAATGCTCAATGAAAGATATATGGTTAAAGAAGGTCATTTTCTTCCTAGTTGTTTGAGTTTTTCGATGTAACAATGCAATTTTGTTTCATTAAAAGTTCAAAATCTATTGTTTTAATTATAAATCAGCCTGGAATGTTCACTTCATGGCTCATATTGTAACATTTCCGGCTATCATGGGGTGCCTTGGCCTGTTTTTTTTTTTTTACTTCGCCCTGTCGCTTAATATTTTTTCTGAAAAAAATCCGAAAAGCAACAAATTATTATATAATAAATTGGTGTGGCCTAAAGAAAACAAGTCTCAACCGAAAATATTTTCATGTCAGAGCATATGTACTTATTTCAATCTATTAACATTTGATATCCCTATCATGGAAACTAAAAAATGCCTTTTAGATTCCACAGTTTAATGTAAGAAAATTCGTCCTACCTTCACAATTGACCCCGCGGTAACCTACTGGGCATGCGCAGTTGTAACCATTCAACAGGTCCGCGCAGGAGCCGCCATTTTGACAAGGGTTCGAATCGCATTCGTTCATTTCTGAAAAAAAAAACATAAATTACCAAATAACAATATTCGTCAACAGCAAATAAAGACAGCGTTCCATATAGCATAGAGGTTTAATAGAGAGATAAGTTGCCTTGTTTAACCAACACTTTCTTTCATTATTTTTCATTATGAAAAACTTAAACTGTTCTCCAACTCAAAATTTGACTCTGCAGGAATTTTCGACTGAATCACTCAGTCTTCCTCAGCTACCTGTCCACAACATTTGGGTCAGCTAGCTGAGGAAGACTGAGTGATTCAGTTGAAAATTCCTGGTGAGTCAAATTTTGAGTTGCAGAACAGTTTAAGTTTTTCAGAATGTAATTTACCAACTCAGATGAACTTTCATGCTGATGTACGTAAGAAACACTTTCTTTCATTGTGATTCACCTAAGAACACGGATGGTCTACTTACAAAAAAGAAAGAAACCTTAAACTTATCTTACCTTCTTCACACATATTTCCAATAAATCCTTTAGGACATGTACAGCTGAATGAGTTGACGTCATCATTACATGTGCCCCCATTTTGACACGGATTAGACCAGCACTCATCAACGTCTGGAAAGGTCAAAGTTCAACACAAAAAGTTATGACGTCACGTTACCTTACGCAATGTGCACTGGTAGTTACTTATAGATTAAAATATTGTAATCAAAATGATTTCCTTTGAGTTATTAGATGAATGGATAGCCATAGCTGTGGAATACAAAATGCACCTGTTTCACAGTTGTCTCCCAGGTATCCAGGTGCGCAGCTGCAAGTGTAGCTGTTCACCTGGTCGTGACACGTGCCGCCATTTTGACATGGACTTGACTCACACTCATTCCCCTCTGCAACAACGAAAATTACAAAAAAAAGTGATGATAAATTTGTAATTTTCTTTGAAGTGGAAGTAATATTTGTCTGTAAAATTACCTAATTCTAAAAAAAATATTTAAAAGATAAAAGATATCGAACCATCTTCGCATGTATCCCCGCTGTATCCTTCCCGGCATGCACAGGTAAATGAGTTGACGTCATCAAAACATGTGCCCCCATTTTGGCACGGACTGGACTGGCACTCATCAATATCTGTGTAGGTCAAAGTTTATCATAAAAATGTTATTTTCCTTCAACTTATTGTGTTGTATTATTTGAAGGCACAAGCGGTTTATGAAATTGAAAACAGCCAAGTTTT